GATTTACAAATTTGTTGCAGGCTTTCACAGGTGTAGCAACTGGTGCCCTAACTTACAGCTTTATCAAAACTTTGGAACAAGAACCAGAATTAACTTATGGACGCCTACTGATTGCTATGCGTGAGAGGGTAAGAAAAGCACCAGAACAAGTAGGCTTGAAAGGATCCCATGAATCACAGGTATGCTTTTATTAGATTGCTATGGTTATTTTTACATGTATGAAGCATCATTTCGCAACTTACATAGCATGTTGTAGTTAGAGAAAGACTGGTAATAGTACAAAACAAACCTTCAAATTGACAAACTGAAGGAAGGAACAATCAGTGTACAGTATCCATAGTTTGTTTACTATTTGTAATACACTACTATCGATATTTTTTCACTTCATAACCATTAAAGCTATCCCGTCAAAGGAAATTTTGGTAATGAGTTATTTGCTTGGCGTTTTGTAGGAACCTCAACTGTCTACTTCTCAAATGTTTGACATTCACTCAAAGCCCTTTACTATATGAAGTGTATAGGCTGCAATTTCCGTGGCTGATTTGTGACCACCAATAAGAAGAACTCATGTCTTTGCAAGCTGAGCCTTGTTAAATATTAGAATGTATACCTCCATTAACGTTGGCAAACTATGTACTATAAAGCTATTATAACCCTAGTTTCTGTGTGCTATTACCAGTATATTTCAATAATATCCCTAATGCTTGCATAAGCGTAAGAATGTTCTCTCTTTCTTGTGCATGTATCCGTATTATCACGTATTTTGGACAGGAACAAAAAATTAAAAAAAAAAAATACTTAATTATGCTTCCAATCACAGGGAAAAATGTTTACGGGAGAAGCTAGCTGAAGAGCATAAAAAAGAACAATCAGTGGAACTCGACAAAGCATGTAATCCCACAATGAACAATGAATATAGAAATCAGATCCCAATATGATAAGGATATTTCTGTACATAGAATATAGGATTTGCAATTCATCTTTGGTCCCTTAGAACAATCAGACGCCTAAATATAAAGATTAAGAATTCCCAGCATTCTTTAACATGAATTTCAGGTCAAGAAACTTATTTGAAATGATGAATTCCAAGATCTTTTGATAGTTGAATCACGTTGCATTCCAAATCTCCAAAATCTACATTTGTTGTTCTCTAATGATCTCAATCCCGAACACAATGGAAGGGAATTATTATCCACAATCTAAGTGTCAATTTTTTGTCAGATTTCATGTTCAAAATATGATATGATTTTAAGGACTTTCCAATTTTGGTGTAAATTTCCATACGAATTTTTCCTTCATTTTTCATGTCATCTTTTCCCCTATTTTTCCAATGCACAATCATTGGAGGTTGTATGGGAGTTAAGGGTGGTTATATGGAGATTCATGTTTGAACTTCAAATTCAAACCACTCTCTTCAACCATTTTGATAACTTGTGGGTCAGGTCATCTCATATGGGCGATCCATAACCCGTATTTTTCTAACATCTCCCACTCGCACGTGATGGGTTTGATTCGAGCCACAAGGGACAACGAATGTCACGCATTAGATCCTTCTCAAGATCTATTTCACAAAAATTCATACGACAAATAGATCGTGCAACCAACGAGAAATATTAGAGCTCACAATACTATAAACCCGTTAGGGATATATAGTAGTTCAATTAGAGGAACATTACATCTCGCTATACCCCAAACTCATTTTCCAACATTAATTCAAGTATTTTTGATTTTCTGAAAATTAATTTTAATTGCACATAAAAATCAAGAATATTTCAAGGATCTAGTTGCAATTTTCGAAATTGTTATTGGAATAATCAACTTTGAAAAAATAATTTTGGAACCAATATGCAACATGCAATTTTTCAGATTGCATTTTGAATATTTAAGGGACTACTATGTAATTCTCTCAAGCCATTTTTTTTCGTGAGTTACTGTTCATCGTTAAAGAAAAATTGCAGTTTTTTTTTTTNAACGAGTAGATGGCAGTAAATATTGAAATTTTTTGCAATTTTATTTAGGGTTTCATTTTTCTCCAAATTTATAAAATCAAAAATTTTCAAACTTTACAGATATCATCTACATCATATAAAGAATACGCTGTAAAAATTTCGTGAATTTATATTACATATTTCATGATATGCTATTAACAATACTTCAAATTTCAATAAAAATCGCATACATGCATTTTTCAACATAATAATTTCATTTACAGCAAGATAGTATGCAAGGGAAACAACTTTTACGGCTCTGATACCAATGTAAGAATTCGCAGCATACTTTAACATGAATTTCGGGTCAAGAAATTTACTTGAAATGATGAATTCCAAAATCATTTGATGGTTGAATTACCTTGCATTTCAAAACTCCAAAATCTGCATTTCTTGTTCTCCAATGGTCTCAATCTCAATCACAATGGAAAGGGATTATTATCCACAGTCTAAATTTTTTGTGAGATTTCATGTCCAAAATATGGTTTTAAGGACTTTCCAATTTTTGTATAAATTTTCATACGAATTTTTCCTTCATTTTTCATGTCATCTTTTTCCCTCTTTTTCCAATGGACAATCATTGGAGGTTGTATGGGAGTTAAGAGTGGTTATATAGAGTTGCATGTTTGAACTTCAAATTCAAACCACTCCCTCCAACCATTTTAATAACTTGTGCGTCGGGTCATCCCACATGGGCGACCCACGACCCGTATATTTCTAACAAAAAATGATGTACTTCGAAGTTGCAACCTCAAATCATTTTTCTTCAAAATAGTGAGGCTTGATAGCCAAAGAATAGTTAACCAAGAGGGGGGGGGGGGGAGAATTGATTTTTAAATTTTTTTTGAAAAATTAATTTAAAAGAAAGCACGTAATAACTAAATAGATTAATTCAAGTAATAATCACGAATATGAAAGCAATAAATAAAGAGAGCTAGATGATGCAAACGATATAATTATGGAGGTTCGATCCATCACAATGATCTATGTCCTTCGTTATCAAGCTCTCTAACACGAGTAAGGTCATTTCACTATGTTAATTGACTTGTAGTGCAATCTAATCCTTTACAATACTTTCGGTGACTTACAAATAAAAAGCACCGAACTTTAAACAATGTTGAACTTTACATGACCTCAACACGACCCCACAAGTTTTTAAAGAAAGTTGGTTTTACAAATGAAACTTCTCTCTTAATAAATGATATGATTACAATTAAGTATCAAGAGAGAAATAGGTTAATACTTTAATAGATAACAATGAATGAAACTCAAGTGTTAGGTATGAAAAACTTTGATGTGTACAATGATTTTGAAAAGTTATTTTGATCAAACGTTTTTCAAAGATAAAATGATTTTATAATAATAAACGAGATAAGAAATCAATATAATTTTGCTCAAAAATATCTCACTTGAATGCTTTTCAAATTTTGTAATGCATGGCATGTGAGTTGGTATTTATAGCAATTGAAAAACGTCAAAAACTCTGTCGAACGGACGATCATCCCGACGTCTAGTACTTTTTCGGACGACTGATTTAGTCGTTGCTCATTAGAAGTCAAAATGGTCAAAAAATCGACCAATGCGAATGAACCGGACATCCGGTTCACCATCCGGACGTTTGTTTGTTTGAAATAATGTAGGCTTATAAATGACATTTTTACTTGATTTTTCAAGATAAATGATGTTAGTAGGTTTGAAAATTAAATTGAAATTCTTAAATTTGAAAAATAAATTTTGTGCAAACTTTTTACGAAATATATTTTTCTCGTGCATAAAAATTCGTTACTTGAGCTTCTAATGAATCATTGCTAAGGATTAAAATATTTTACTTTACAAATGAGCTCAAACATCTAGTTCTAATATCTTCGGTTGATTTAGGGCGAGTGCTCGATTTGTCTCTGATTGTAAATGCTTAAATCCATCTTGAATTTTCTTGATTGTCAATTGCAAGTCTTTTGATAGCAATTGTTTTTTTTTCCCAATTTGATTAACATGTAACAATGAAGACTCGAATACAAATGTTAGAGATAAAATCACTTTGTTTTTTCAGAATATTTGAAGATAGAACAAAGACTATTTTGATCGTATACATTGATGACATAATTCTCACAGGTGACTACACAGTTGAGGTAGAGAGATTGAAACGAAGTAGTCACAGAATTTGAAGTAAAAGATCTAGGACAACTGCAGTATTTTCTGGGAATGGAAGTGGCCAAATCAATGAAGTGTATCAGTGTTTCACAATAAAAATGTCCTAGATCTCCTAATTAAAACTGGCATGCTTGGGTGTAAACCAAGTGACACTCTTATGGAAGCTGGAAGGAAGACACACAATATGGGAGAATCAGTTGAAAATGACAGACATCAGCGACTAGTTGGGAAACTGATCTATCTATCACACATCAAACCAAACATTGCATTTGCGATTAGTGTGGTAAGTCAATACATGCATTCTCCGAAGGAAGCTCATCTAGAAGTAGTTTATAAAATTCTGAGATACTTCAAAGGCTCTCCTAGAAAATGTTTTTTTTCAAGAAAACTGAAAAGATGGAGGTAGAAATATTCACAGATGTTGATTGGGCAGGATCAATAGAGTTAGTAGATCAACTACATGCTATTGTTCCTTCACATAGGGAAACTTGGTAACGTAGAGAAGTAAGAAATAGAATGTAGTACCTAGAATTAATGCTGAAACAGAATTTAGAGCAGTTTAAGGAATATGTGAAAGACTATGGTTAAGAAAACTTTTGGAAGAACTACAAGTTACAATGAAACTCTCGATTAAACTCTACTGCGATAACAAAGTTGCGATCAACATTTCACTTAATCTAGTTCAACATGATTGAACCAAACATTTAGAGGTAGGCATACACTTCATCAAGGAGAAAGTCGAAGACGAAACTATTTGCATGACCTACATTCCTACCAAAGAACAACGACGGATGTATTCACTAAGGGGCTACACAGACAACATTTCAATAATTTTATCTACAAGTTGGATATGATCAATATCTACTATCCAACTAGAGGGAGAGTGTAGAAATCCCGTAATTATGGGATTATTAATTATGGAATTGTTGTGTATATAGTATAATTGGTGATTAGATAGGAAATAGTTCTATTTATTTAATTAGAAGATTATATTCCCTTTCTTCCAACCTTACTGTATTATAAATTAAGATGTGTAAGGAAATAAGTGAGAAACAGAAAATAATTTCTCATTCCATGCGTTTACTAATGTCAGTTAGGAACCGACTAATTAAATCCATTCTAGATTACTCCATGTTGGTAAATTATTAATTAGCATATTCTAGATTTATCCAGTTTTGGCAGCAATTAATTCTTCTAGTTCCTTCTAGGTTGGCTAATGGAAAAATCTGGAAATCAAAATAATGTTAAAACAAAAGTCGGTGTTGCATCTTGAGGTCATATCATTTCATCTTCAAGAAAGATTCTAACATAACTGAGCCTCTATCTCTTACTCCCTCTCACACACACACTTGCATTTCACATATGTGTGTTTCAACCACGTTATTGTGAAAGAATGTATTTTAGAATAGTAAATTGATAGAGAATGTGTGATTGAAAAAGAAGGAAAAGTTATTGATGTGATGGAAAATATTATTTTATTGAAGAATGTGTGGTTAAAATGAATAAAAGAATAATAATGAGAATTTAATGTGCCTCAAATGTGAGCTGCACTTTGTGATGCTTGATGCTAAACATCCTGAAGCTGCAATATTAGTCTCAACCAAATTAGAGTCCAGCGAAGTGGTGGAACATTTATCGACTCAGGAAAAAGCAAAGAATCTAATTCCCAGACCTTTTTTTCTCAAGTGGAATAAAGCTAAAAATCTAAGGATGACTTCAACCCAGTCAACTTCTGATTTATATCGATTATTTCAACATCCAGATAATGTTTTGACCCCAAGGGAGATCAGAAATGGAAATGGCAGGCCAGAGAATGAGATGCAGTTGTTGCGTGTGCAACAAATGGTTCCCCACAACGCATATACATTTCAATGTGCAATATGTCTAACTGTAATCCTGGTTCAACCGAACAATCATCTAGGCCAAGCTCATGACTCAATATGCCACTCAGCTAGCAGAATGAAGAATTTGCTTAATAGAGCATCCAGTAACATTAATACAATGGCAGCTTCAGTGAATAGCTGCGCTTTTCTGGGGCGTCAGGTAATGCTCATCATTCGCAACCAGTTGCACCTTCCTTGCCGTTTTCTGCATACCGAATGAAGCAGCAGTGTTATGTGGAGTAAGCTACCATAGGCAGAAATACAGGCTAAAGGGAACTGTCAATGATGTTAGGGTGTTACAATTGTGAGACCACTGTCCCAAGGAACCAAACTTCCTGCCTTCATTGATGCATGCCACAGTGGCACTGTTGATCTGCCATTTTTATACCGAATGAATAGGTCAGTGCTGTCCTTTCGTGATTGGATCAACCCAAACTGGCCATTTGCGAGAATTCTTCATTTTTAGAGCAAAAAGGGTTACTATATTGTAGAAATTATGATGATTATAGAATATAAATGGCCAATCTCTGATCTGAAAGGTAGATCTATCAGCAATATCAAACAGATCACTATGGTCTACAAGGAAGGATACTAATATACTATCTGTGGGAAGATCATGGTAGCCAGTCACCTATAAACAAAGGTACAAATGGTTCTCTAGCTGTGTCTATGAGTTCATGTGATCATCAAGTTTCAGCAGATACTAAAGTGAATAACCACTCTCCTTTCTTACAGTTAAATTACATTTTATCTTTCTAAAAACTATTGTAACCTTGGCATAAATATCTAGTAATAAAGTTACTAAGGCTCTGTTTGATGAGCCTCCTTTTCCTAGGAAAATGGAAAAGATTTTTCTCTTTCTCACAAAATTGTTGTTTGACGGTGAAAATTAACCTTGGAATTCATTTTAATTTTCCCTGAAATCCTTGCTTTTATTTTCCTTGGGTTTGGGCAGTTTTTTATTTTCCAGCTTTTGGGTTTTTTTGTTTTTTTGATTTTTTTTTTTTTTTTAGAATGGAAACAAATGTCATACTCAATGGTAAAAATTTTTTCACTTTAATAGACAATTTTCATGTAAAACAAAGTCAAACGAACACTAAACTTTGATGAAAAAAATGATTTTTTAATAAACAATTTTTTTTTTTTTTTTTTTTTTTAGCAATGGAAACAAATTTTATAACCAATTGTGGAAAAAATTATGACTTTAATA